ACTTTAAGTGATTTATTATTTAATACAAAAAAATATAATTTTTTATTATACAAAGAAAAGGGAATAACTAGTGTGTCAGTACGTCAAGACGAGATAACCTTATAAAATAGTTTAATAAAATAAAATTATAAAAGCAGTGGTTGTGTATTATGTATATTAAAGTATCATCTAGGTGTGATTTTGTTATTTATATAATGTTGAAAATTATTGAGAGTTAGAAGTTCAGTAATATTTAGGAGTAATTAATAAAAGTGAATGGAAATAACTGGAATAAGAGTTTATGAATTGTGACTCAAAAAAATGTAAGGATTAAATTGTATTTAAAACAGTGTTAATTAATAGTTGTTTTTACAAAGCAGTGGGATTAAGACACAACAAATCATGTAAATTTCTTTAAGAAGTAGGTGATTCCATTCATTAGTTTCATCGATAAAATCTATTTTTTACTTTGATTTGTAGTTTTGTTAATATTTGTGTTTTGATAGAAGAGAGGAATATTTAAATAAAAGCGATTTCATAGAGTTAAGATGCGAAAAGAAATTGTTTATTTGAGGGTTGTTAATTCTTCTAATAAATTCTATCAAGTTTTTGTTGGTAATTTTTTTATGGTATGAATGAGTTTAAAAAAAAAAGTGATTTTCCTAAAATAAAAAAGGAATTAAAAAAAAAAAAGGAAATTCAATCAAAAAAACAGAAAAATGTTATTAAAAATTTAATAAAATTTTTAAAACAATTGTAAATGACAATCATTTTTATATGGCTCATTTTTAATGTCGTTGAAGCAATTTGTGGTAATGGAGAATTTAACCCTGAAACTGAAGAATGTGATGGAGCGGATCATTGTACAAGTGACTGTTTGTGTGAAGAGAATTATGTTTCTGTTCCTGATGAAAATAAATGTATACCTATGTGTTCAATTAAAGGGTGTGATGGAGAATGTGCTAGTCCTAATGAATGCACATCATGTCATCAAGAAGGGTATGATGAAGATTGTTATGTATGTAAAGATGGATATTTTTCAAATGGATATTTAAATTGTAAACCATTAGCTGGAAATACTATTTTTTCATGTGCTTCAAAAGTTGCCAGTGCAGTGATTGATATAAAAGAAGATTTTACTGAACATGTTGAAGTTATTGATACAAACGAATGGTATTTAACGTCAAGTATATGTTCACCTGTTTCACTTATTAATGCACCATATATTTATGGCAAATGGTTTAAATTAAATATGAATTTTAGTGGGTATATCTCTATTGAAACAGTATTTCATTATACTAGATATAATATTACATATATTAAATTAAATCAAGTTAACGTTGGAATTGAAACTGTTCTTACTTTACAAACAACATGCCCTGGTGAAAATTCATTTGTTTCTGAATGTTTTTATTCAAACGATAATGTTGATGATTATATTCTGTCAAGTAGGATTATAGCTCCTGCAACCTCAACATATTATTTATTAGTTCATTCCCAAGAAGATTCACTTCAAGCAACATTTAATCTTTATATTAGAAGGATTCACCATCCATGTTCATATGTTAATCAAGAAATATCATGGAATAGTATTTCAAGAGACGGATATCATTATATTATTAATTCTAATTATGGTGTTTTCTCAGACACTGCTTGTTCAAAACCTTCTTTAAGTGGAATGTGGTTTCATTTATATGGGGCTGATAGGTCATTAATTATGAGTACATGTAATACTATTGGAGATTATAATACAGCTATTCATGTTGTAAGTGCACCTATTAAACACGATGAAAATCTTAGTTGTAGTTATAAAGAAGATACAACTAAATGTGAAGCATATAGTTATCAAGGGTGTACAGATTTTGTTGAAGATAAAAAAGTAGTTAATTCTAAAGCAACTCTATTATTGTCATTGTCTTCAAAAAAAGATTATTTTATATTTGTATCATATCAAACTTCAAGTTTTGCGATGATTAATTTTAGTGTTTCAATTGCTTGTCCATTTGGTTGTAATGGTCATGGAAGATGTACTGAAAATGGATGTTTATGTGATGAAGGATATGTTAATTCTGGTGATACATGTTCTACATGTGGAAATGGAAAATTAGATGATGAAGAACAATGTGATTTGTCTGTTAGTGGATCAGAAGATAAAAATTGTGATAGAGAAATGTGTATGTGTCATTATCTCAATATTCCCATGACAATAAATGGAACAACAAAATGTGCACCAATAACTTGTTATAATGGAGTAATTGATATTTATGAAGAATGTGATGGAGGAGAGGGTTGTAGTTTTTGTAGGTGTATGGATAATTATGTAGGACATTATATTCCAGAACTTGGATGTTTATCTAAAAATTGTGGGAATCATAGATTAGATGAAGGAGAAGAATGTGATGGAGGAACTGGATGTTATGAATGTAAATGTGAAAATGGGTGGTATAATGTAGATAAATTATATTGTTCAAAAATGCCTAAATGGAGTATTTATCCATTAGCTTTTATTCCAGGAGTAGTTCTTTATTTATTAGTATGGGTAATATTATTTATAATCTTTTTAAGAAAACACATAAGACTAACAAAGATGATTGAAATTGAACAATCTAATTTAGAACATATTATACCATTTTTAGAGAAATCAATTATTAAATTTGATAAAACTCATTCACGATTTATTGATATTACTGTTGAAAATCCATTCTTTTCTTTCCTCTCACCAAATATAGAATTTGGTAAAGAAGTACCATTAGATATTCCAGAAAAAACAACTATATCATTAACAAATAAAAGAAAAGAAACATTAAAATTTACATTTCATGCATGTGAAACATTAAGATATGATATTATGTTTAAACCAGTTACAGGAACTGTTAAGTCAGGACAAACAGTTCTTATTACTGCTATAATTATTATTAAATGTACAACAGTTCTAACAGAAAAAGTACCAGTTACACTTTCTTTCCCACGATTAAAAGATGAAGTTGCATTAAAATATCAAACAGAACAAGTATCACAAAATTCTTCTTCTGATGAAGGACATAGAAAGAGTAAATTAGGAATAAAAAAGTTTCATGTTTATTTAAATTTAAATGTTGAGTCAGAACTTTCAACAAGAATTGATTATAATTCTCTTAATATTTTATTTCCTCCAATAGGAAGAGGTACATTTGGAAATGTTTATAAAGCAACATGGAGAAATACAGATGTAGCTGTAAAAGTTATGAAAACAGATTCTGTTTATTTTGATGAATTAAAAAAGAATTTTACTAAAGAATTAGAAATTATGGAACAAACACAATATGCTTATATTGTTCAATTTATTGGAAGTGCTGAAACTGAAAATTCATTATGTTTAATTATGGAATATTTTCCACTTGGAAGTATTCGTAAATTTTATACTGAACATGAAATAAATGATTTATTAAAAATTAGAATGTGTGATAATATTGCACAAGCTATGGATTATCTTCATAATAAACAAATCATTCACCATGACTTAAAACCTGATAATGTTCTTGTAGCTTCAAGTAATCCAAATGAAGTTGTTGTATGTAAAGTTAGTGATTTTGGAACGTCACAAGCATATATTAATACAAATTCTCATATTGAAAAAAATATTGGTACTCCTATGTATATGGCTCCAGAAGTTCATAAAACAGGTATAGCATCATTTAAATCTGATGTTTTTTCATATGCAATATGTATATTAGAAATTTGGATATGTGAATCTGTTTATCCTGAAGATGAATTTCATGAGTCAAGTGATATTCTGAATTTTGTTTGTTCTGGAAATCGACCAAAGATACCAGATAATTGTTTTTATAAATCAATTATTGAAGAGTGTTGGAAAGTTAATCCTGATGAACGTCCAAATTTTAAACAAATTTATCATAAAATACAACATGTCCTTAAATATTATAATCGTTTAAAAACAAAAAATAATCCACAACAAGTAAATCATATAACTTCGAATTTCAGTCACGACATTATCTCTTTTACTCCCTCAAATAATAAAGTTAATAGAAATCTTTCTTTGAATGAGAGAAGTGTATTAATAACTTCTCAACAAAACGAAAATAAAATCACTGATAATCCTATCAACCTAACATCAACTAAAGAATCATCTTCTTCAAACTCTTCTTTATTGAATGGTATTGGAGATATTCAACTTTCTTTCATTAATAAAGAAAAATCATCTGATTTTTCTTCTGGACCAATGGAAGATGAAATAAATTCAACAGACTCACAAATATCTGAGAGTCAACAAAGTAATGCTTTTCACAGTTAATTTATTGACACATTATTATTATTCTACGATATGTATTTTTTGTTTGACTAACACCAAAGTTTATCTTTTTTTTCTGTTAAGTTTGTATAACAATATTTATGTTTTAAAGTATTCAATAACATTAATAAAAAATTTTTATAAATCTTATCTTAAAAAGTTAAAAAATGTCAAAACCAGGTTTATTACCATCACTTCCAGGTTCATCTACTGACAACCCAACTTCATTATTACCTTCTTTAAATCAATCAACTATTCCACCTCCATCAGAGGATCTTCCTGATGAAACAACAAATAATAATGGAAGTATGGAAGATGGAGATGATGACGATGATTCTAATGATGGAGAAGATTCAATCAAAACAGAAGAAAATGTAGCAGAAGTTCCATGTCCTGAGCTTGATGAATTAACATCAGGTAATCCTTTTTCAATTACATCGACTGCTGCTCCAAAAAAAACAGGAGAAAGTCGTTCATTAAAAGTTCTTAAACAAATAATTGAACCTTGTGAAGATCAAGAAGGTAATTCAACATTTGAGTTAGAATTAGAAAAAATTCAAAATAAAACACGAGATAATTTAACACTTTGTCCTCAATTAAAGAAGGTCTATATGGATAGTTATGAAATTTGTTTTGATAGTAAAAATGTTGCAAGTGTAATGGAGTCTGTTGATGAAAATCTTCATATTTCAAAATCAACACAACATGTTATGGGTGCTATTTGTAAAGTATTTCTAGCTGAATTAGTTAGTGAGACTCAAAAAGTACGTGATGATGATAAAAATGGAATGGGACCATTATTACCTCAAGAAGTTGCTGCTGCTTATAGAAGACTTATTGAAAGGGGAAGTGTTCCTGATATTAATAAAGCTCCTTTCTTTTGTGATAATTAATTTTTATTGTTTTATTTTAAATTTATTTATTATGAATTTATTTTGTATCAATATCATTTAATAACACAACATTTTTCTTAATTATAATTCTCTTATTCATTGAAACAACAAATAAAATCTTAGTAATAATATATTTTAATATTAGTTATTTAATATTTGTGTTTTAATGAAAAATATCATTTAAAGAAAAAGGTTGTTGAGTTATTAATTATATATTTTAATAATGAAACGTATTGTATTCATTTAAGAAAATAATCAAAGAGTATTAACAAAGAATAAAAACATAGAAACAAAGAAAAAGTATAAAATTATAATAAAAAGAAAATGAATAGATATATATCATATTTAATATAACTTTTAATAAAAGTTTTTTTAAATAATACAACTTATCATTTAGTTATTATTCAAAGAAATTGAATAAAAAATTATAAGTTAATTATAACTAAAACTACTTACACTACTTTCTTGTGAAGAAGTTTGTTCAGTCTTTTCAACTTCATAAAGTTCTTTTGATAATTTATAATGAATAACTTTTTCTTCTTCTATTTGTTGTGTAATAATTTGAATTCGACGTTGAAGTTTTAATAAATAGTCATGGTATAAAGTATTTTCTTTTGTAATTTCTTGTATTCTTTGAGAATAAGTATCTCTATAAAAATAAATAAGTCTATTTGCTTCATTTAATGCTTCAATTTCATTCATTTTTAATTCACTTGGTTCAATAGAAGAAAGAAATGAAGAAGTAATTTTTCCCGTTAAATCACCACTTCCTTTCTTTTCTTTTCTTTCTTTTTCTGACAAATTTAAGTAATTAATTATATCTTTTTGGTGGTCTTTAAATGCTTGAACAATTAATGCATGAAGTCTTTTTTGTTCTTCTAAATCAAGTCCACTTTGTTCAATAGATAATGCAACAGGTTTATTTAAATAATAAATTGTTTCTTTGACTAATGAAAGTATATCTTCATTTCCTATTCCACTATTTACAACTTGTTCAAAATAATGAGCAAATTGATCAATTTTTTTTTGATTTAAACTTAATTCATCTTGTTTTACTCCATCAAGAATAAATAAAGGATTTTCAAGAAGTGGAAATAGAAATTTAACAAAAAATAATTGTTGAAATACCCATTGAGTAGAATTATGATTTGTTTGTTTATTTTCAACTTCTTCATTTATAACTTGTAATGACCGAATGAAATGTGGTGGAATAGTTTTTAAAGAAGAGTGTATTCCTTCACATAATTTAGTAATTAATTGTTCATGAGGAATTGATGGAATAAAAATAAGGTTTTGAAGAACTTCTTGTAAAGAATTTTTTGCAAAGTCAACCAAAAATCTATTTGCATATTCATTATATAATCTTACTAAAACAGAATTTCCTTTAAATGTTTTCGTTTCTATTGAATTAATATCAATACCATGTTTTGCTATTTGTTTAAATAATAAACATATATTTCCATGAGCAACAAAATAATCAACAAGTAGTCTTGAATAAGTATTTACTTCAGGAGTTAATGCTGGTTGGATAATAATATCAAAATATGATTTTAATACTAATGAATTATTTTTAAAAATTAGACGATCAAATTGATATTTTTTTCCATTTGGTAAAGGTGTAGTAGTTTTCATAAATTACAAACTAATAATTTCATTCATCTCATTTATAAAAACAAAACACAATTCTTATAATAAAAAATAGATTGTTAAATTAATTCTTCTTTGATTTCTCCAAT